GTCGGGAAACGGGGCTTTCATGTCTGTCAGGTAGGGATCGTATCAGGGAGGATATTTATTAGAAAATGTTTCAAACGGGGCCGGGGCGCAACTCTAGTAAAAAGCAAATTTTTTTTAAGTTTTCTCTCTTATTTAATGTTTTTTTCTTTCTAGCACAATTTGTATTTAGTTTTTATTTTTATGAATTTTTATCCCATTTTTTATTTAAACATTTTTCTATGATTTGTAGTTTTTTTCGTGGATTTTCATTGATTTGTATATATTTTAGTTTTTTCGCTTTTAGAGGTACGGCGCGTAACTCACGTGAAATGAAAAATTTTTATTCTAAACGTCTTCACTATTGTATTTTTTATTCTGTTTAGCAAAACTGATTACTCCTCCGTAATCAGGGGATTACGAAGGATTAATCGACTAAATTATGAGAATTTTGGAAGTTCCATTTTTAGCTTCGCAAGTGATGATTTAAAGAATTTAGAATTCTTAATTCCCCCCCCCCCCCCCCCCCCAATAGCATTAACTCCAAACTTTTTCGGGTCGGGAATCTGGGCTTTCATTTTTGTCGGGTAGGGATCGTATCAGAGGGCTATTTATTCAAAAATCGTTCGGAAACGGTTCGGGGCGCAACTATAGTAAAAAGCAAAATTAAAAAAAAAGTATTCTCTTTTCTTTAATTTTTTTTTCTTTCTTTCTATTAAACATTATTCGCTGATTTGTAATTTTTTTCATGGTTTTTCGGTGATTTGTATATATTTTATTTTTACTTCTGTGATAAATCGTAGTATTAGATAAAATTAGTTTTTTTTAAATTACTATATAATAGCAGAATTTATTTATAAAAACCAAATTCAATGAAAGTGGGGTCCACTTACAGATTTATAAAAAAATAAAAAATAAAGTTAATACGTAAAGTTTGAATTGTGGTAAAATGACTGTAATAGGCTATTATTGTTATTTATGCTAAGAAATTTAAGCTCTATATTAAAAGAGTGCCGGGATCATATTTTACCTTACTTTCATGAAATGGTTATTTTTCCTTAATATGTAACGTTGTTGATTTTTATCGAAAGGTAACATACTGCAAAATTTTTTAAAGATCTTTACCCCCCATTTTCCGCTGATTTTCGGATTTTATATTAAAAATATTAAATTTCTATTAAAAATATTTAATTTTCTATTAAAAATATTAAATTTTTATAAAAATATTAAATTTCTATATTAAAATATTAAATTTCTATTTTATAATATATTGTAAATTATTTTATAAAAGTGCATGCCTATATACAACATATTGATTTTTAACATAATTTGATATGATATCTTGACAGGCATTTAAAAGTCTTGTGAGTTGCTTGTCAATATTGGTTTTTTGATTAAATTTAAAAATATATTGTAGAGAGAGAAAAAGGAAAATTGATTAAGGCGTACATCTGAATGTCACGTTATATACGTATAAATTGTTTTGAATATCTTCTATACACGAAAAAATATTTCGAACTAACAAAACGGAAATGAAAGAATATATAAAACATTAATGTATACAAACACAATGTCAACGTTGTCCAATGCAGGACTACTTATCCATGCTTTAGCATTTAAGCTTACACTAGAAATAATCCGATTTTAATTCATCAAAATACCATATTTTATGATTGACTTCAAATCTACTCCTAAATTTCATTTTAGACTCAAATTCTTAGACTCAAGTCTAAGGAATACATCAGAAACAAATCTTAATATAACACATTATTTGCATTCAGATCACTTTCAGTAGGCCCAAAATTCACTATACGGCGGACCAATGCCAGTTATATTCAATGCTGAATTCGCTAGGCGAATTGGAAGTTTGACCGAGACACTCATTAAATTCCATCTTTGATTTATACATATTGGATTTAAAGATCATTATAAAAGATCGAATGAATAATACGAGAATTTGTTATTAAAAAATAAAAAATAGTCGTTTGTTCCATGTTTTTGATGAACGTATAAAAACTAAACATACTATGTCTAGCATTCCTCGCAATTCATATGAATTTACAAAGAATTGCAAGAAATTGGGCCTGATAAGCCAAAAAACTTTAAAATTATTTTTAAAGACAAAAATGCGCCGGCAGCATTACAAGACACTAGACTACATCAAAGACAGGTTAATCAAAGACAGGGTAACACATTCTATGCCTGATTCCTCAAAAGACCCACTTACTATATATATTTTTTAAATAAATTAGATTTAAACCAGACCTGCTCACGGATACTGATTTTGGTATCCGTATCCGCATACTTACGGCAGATACAGGCGGATATCCGCAGCTATTTTGATATCATCTGTATCCATATCCGTATCCATGACCAGGTCTGATTTAAACTAGAAAAACTTCTTATATAAACAAGAAACATTTCCTATTAATATTAAAATAATAAATTTTTATTTTAAAATATATTCAAAAATTATTTCGTAAAAGTGCATGCGTTGTATAGCGGCTATATCAATAAAGATATATATGACATATTGATTTTTAACATAATTAGATATGATATCTTGACAGTCATTTAAAAGTCATGTGAAAGGCTTGTCAATATTACGTTTTGATTAAATTTAAAAATATATTGTAGAGAGAGAAAAAGGGCATTGATTAATGCGTATATCTAACATGAAAACAATTCTTCACAACTAACAAAACAAAAACAAAAAAATATATAAAACATTAATTTTACAAAATCAAAATTATAAATCAGTGAATTTTGGAGTAAAAATCTCAAGATTGTCTTTTGCAGGATTACTTCACCTTGCTTCAGAATTTAAAGTTAACTCTAAAATAAAGAGCACTAGTCGTATTTTTGTAGTAGTATTTTTTATTTTATGACAAAACTTGAACATGTCCATTCATCATTTTAGAGTGTAATGAAACCATGTAGTGGACGCAATTGAAAAATCCGCAGTCTTACTTCTATATGTAACGAAACCAAAACAAAACTTTCAATGTTAAAAAAACAAAACGAAAAAATTCAAAATTCACGAAGATTTACACAACAAAAAAGCGTTACGCAATTCTTATTAAAGAGGTGACATGCATGACATGACATGCCACCTGGATATGTCGACTTTGTCAATATTAGGGTTTTTAATCAATTTTAAAAAAATATATTGTGTTTAGGAGGAAAAAGATAAATTAAGGAGATGTGTAACTTTAATAACACGTAAGTTATACGCCCGCCTGATTGCTTTTAAAAAAAGAAGCGTATTCCTTGATTTTTGTATTCATTAATTTACATACAATAAATATTGATAAACTCCCTGATTTTATGACATTATGTTCATTGCAATTTAAACTCCCCACGAAGCGTGTTCTCAAAATACTTGCGAAACGCGCGGTTTCATACAAGGTTTGCTTTGACCATTTTGAGCCCACTTGTCTCAGCTCAGCCTTGAGAACGCGGCATTATTTTGGTGTCATTCGATTCAGCTCGTCGAGCTCTTTCGATTGACGTATATATTGTCCAAATCTAAATTAAAATCCCTCGTCAAAATTTTAGGGTGGGTAGTTAAAGTAAATAAGTTCCGTTTTATTTAAACTAACAAAACAAACAGTTATTTAAGAATATTACTGGGCTATTTAAAATTTTATTTTAAAAATAAAATATCTAATAAAACAAGAAATTTTTTCAAAAATTAAAACAAGTTTTTGACGGAATACCTTTCATTGTTTCTTTTATTATGCAGAAGAAAAGACTTCTAAAATAAAAATTTTGTTAGGGTTCGATATAACTCAAACCCGAAAATGATATTTAATAAAAACACTAATTATATGTAGTAGAAGTCTTCTAAGAATCGGGATTCGATTTAATTTTTTTATTGAATTTAAGGATGAAAATTTACAATTTAATCCTTTTAAATTTTTATTTTCTTCAAAATTTTTCCTTATTATTTGGAATGCATCCAGGAGAAGGTCCTTCGGGATCGCAACCACGAGTGATACATCAAGGGAAAGGTTCGGGAACACAGCAACCAGTGGAGGAAGATGTTTGTTTTATTGTAGAAAAATAAAAATATACAAAACATTTTTAATAGGAATTTACTCAATTAAACGTTCAAATTTTTCCTTTGCTTGAAAATGTTGGTGACATGCCACCTCATCCGAACATAGCAGTTCGACCGCTAAGTAATATCTATTTTTAGTCAAATTTATAAAAAATTATAATTCTTAACTATAAAAACAATTTAATTTTAAAAATTAAGGTAGCTCTGGATTTGTGGAACAAATTACGAATGTTAGAAAGCAATATGATAATTTGGTTTATGCATATGGTGAATTATTAGCTGATTCAGTTGAATTTAATCAACAATTAAACAACAATTTAATTGCTAGAAACCTACCTCAGGTGAAAATTATTAGTTTAAAAAATATTTTTATTTGGTACTGAAAGTTGGTTAATAAAACTATTTTGAAAAGGGAGACACGAAATTTTAGGTTCGAGAGTCTGGGAGAAAATTTTAACCAGGTGCAAACTTTTGCCCAAAATTTTTTCTATGCGTCTTAAGCTCTGTAATCAAGCAAAGTGAAGATACATAAAAAATTCTTGAAATTTTTTGTTCTTCTTTTAATTATCTATCATTTAATCTTCATTTGATCTCATTATTTTTAATTTGAATAAAATTATGACATAAATAAGCTGTCCCATGCTTTTTTGTCAACCTGTAGTTAAATCATAATTCTATTCAATTAGCTGTATAATTTTAATTTCAATTTGCTAGAATAATCATAACATCACACAAGAACTCAATCGAAGAATAAATGATTGTCACAGCGTCCTTGCATATAACAAAGCCCAACAAAACGGAGTTATAGCAGATATGCAAACACTTTATGCTTATGTCAATCATCTTCACGGTTTTAATCAAGCGATTCAAAATGAGGGTAATTATTAGTTTAATATAATTCATGGGCAAGCGCGAACAATGAGGTTTCCTCGGAAATTCATTAGATTTTAACACATTCAGATCAGCATGGGCAAGGCCAACCTGATCAGAGCCATCGTGGACGAGGTCGAGGTAGACGCGGTCGTAGAGGAGGAAATCGTGGAGCTGGTCCAGGCAATTGAAGTAAGGAATATTATTATTAAGATATGCATTTTTAATGCAGGTATTGACAAGATTGAAGGGATGCGTTGAACATATATGATGAGCTATTACAGCTGAGAAACAAAGAGAACAAGAGTAGAAATTAGTCGACTATTCTATTCAAGATTATGACAAAACTTAATGAATAGGTTTATGGTGAATAGGTTATAGGTTTTCCTTCCATATATGAGGATTCCCATGTGTGTTTTCGATTTGTTCCGGAAATTGTAGATGTCTATTGGATGACAGTTGTCTATTCTTTGTTTAAAAATTATTTTAACCACTCCAGTAATTTGGATTTATCGATCTGCACCTATTTCCGATCATTTTTACCTCCATATCTGAATAGAAAAATGTGACCATGAGATAAGGGGTATTTATTTAATGGTACGTGTAGGGTTTTAAGAGTTTCGCTGAAATAGCATATTAAGTATTTTTATAGCAGCTGTGATCTATTGTTTATAGTTTTGTCATAATGTAGATTTCATTTCTATCGATCATTTCTCTTTCTTCACTATTGGAATTTTATACTTTCGGCCCGACATTTGCAGGATAGAGTAAATTTCCAAGTTGTATTTTAGAGAATCAGTATGTCATTAGGTATCAAAAAATTCATTTATTTTGCTGTAATGTCGAACCCTATTTAAATTTTAGTAAAACTCAAAATTTGTTATTCAAAAAGTTTTCCACATCTTTAATTTTCTATTCTTTCTAGCATAATTTGTATTAGTTTTAATTTCTGTATTTTTCTTTTATTTTTTATTTAGACATTTTTCGGTGAATTGTAGTTAAAAACTCTTGTGATAAATCTTAGTTATTAGAAAACTTATGTTTTTAATTTATTAATAAGATAATCTCGGGCTCATTATATTTTTTTATAATTCCAAAACTACATCCGTCTTAAAAAATTTCTGCAAATCGGAGTTTAACAATTCGGCTTAGCTTATCAAGAAGAATCGAATGATAGTCTTTTGAACATTTTTAGAGCTTAATGTAAAAAATACCTATTTTATTATTAATGATCTTTTAAAAGGTTGATTAAAAGGTTTAAGAAGTTTGATATTTGATTAAATATTTGACATTTCTAATCAATTTTTAATAATAATTTTAAATATCGAATAATTTGATCAAATATTTATTTTGTCATTTGTCCTATTTCAAATAGCAAAGGAATCACTGTATTCTCTTGAAATTTCTATGGAAAATTTTTATAACTAGAATTAGTTTTTTCACAAGGGTTACCATTTTACTACCACCGTATCTCTAACCTACGGAGCGAATTAAGTATTTCTGGGTTCCTGACCTACGGCCAGTTGGTCTGATTTTTACAGCGTAACTTGTTCCGTTGTCCTTTTTTGTGATGAGATGTCACTATTATTAATACATCTTGTTGTTTCCGAGGATTTAAATTTTATCGTAATATGACTGTATTTAATTTCAGGATGAAAATTTACAATTTAATCCTTTTAAACTTTTATTTTCTTCAACTTTTCCAATTATTATTTGAAATGCATCCAGGAGGTGGTCCTTCAGGCTCAGAACCAGGATGGCTGAATCCAGGAGAAGGTTCATCAGAACCGCAACACTCAGTCGAACACGATGTTTGTATTATTGTAGTAATATAAAAATTTAAATATTTTTAGGTTTTTACTCAATTAGAAGTACACTGTAATCCTTGGATTGGAGTTTATGGCAACTTACTTCCTTGTAATGACATCGCCCCTCGCTCGTTAAGTAATATTTATTTTATTTATAAAATATTATTTTTAACTGTAAAAACAATTAATTTTAAAATAATACTAGAGCAAACAAATCATGCTGAGCAACAAATCATCGATTATCATGAACAAAGTTATAATTTGGTTTGTGCATATAAAGATTTATAGATGGTTAGACCCTGCTTCGCAGCCCCGCAACGCAGGGTCTAACCGAATATAATAATCTAGCAAAATAAAAAATATAAACATTTTTAATAGGATTATGATAATGTAGATGACCAATTTAATCATTTGTTGCACACATTAAAAGACTTTGATCCTTTTACTGGTGAGTTATTTTTATTTAAATAAAAAAATATAATTTCTAATTATAATAATAATTTATTTTTAAAAATTAAAGAAAACCCAGAAATTGTGCAGAAATTTAGCAATGTTGGAGGACAATATGAAAATTTGATTGCTGCATATAATGATTCGCTAATTGAATCCGACGAGATGTATGACATCTGTCAACGATATCAGGCAAAAAAATATTTTTATATAAAATTTGTTTTTATTTGGAAATGAAAATGAAATGTGAAATATTTATAAAGTACATAGAGATCGTTCTTTCAGACCGTTCGATATAAGGAAGACCCGAGTTAGTCTAACTAAATTAAAGCTAAAATGATCAAAATAATTTTAATTTTTCATTTATTAGGGCGATCATGATTACGTACAAAAATGTAATGCATATTTAAATGACTTAAACAAATCTTTTAAAAAGAATATAAACGACCAACTTCGAATTATAAAAGATATTCAAAAACTTTATGAGCATGTTAGTAAACACAATTATGATCAAGCGATTGAAAATGAAGGTAATTAGATTTAATATATTTCATTGCTATACAAACCGGAATTTCCTCTTAAAATATGTAAATACTTTTACGGACCATGAGGATATATTTTGGTGGGTTACGTTATTCTTGTGCAAATAGAGAACGAGCCTTATATTAATGACAATGTTCTTCCATCATAAGAGATTAGAAAAGAATCCTCTGACATCCTCAAATTTTTTAAAATCCTTTTATCCATCCAAATCACCCTATATTCATGTTATCACTTGAATTCCGTCCAAATACTTGTATATCGAAATAGATACGGAACTTGCTGATTTTTAATAGGATGCTAAGAATCGTGAAAAAAATTTTATTTGCTTTTTGCGTGGTTTTTAGACATTGCGTTGCATTCTGCGTTTTGCGCTCGCTCGATAGGAAATCTTCGGAGGTTTTTAAACCGTATTTAATTAAGGAGAAAATTCAGGATCGCAACAACCAGAGATAATTCATGTATGCTTGTATTATTGTAGCAAAATAAAAAATATAACATTTTAATAGGCATACTACATTCAATTAAGGGAGCAAACTCTTAAGTTGCTTGAACAATTTGGCATACAACCAACTTGGAGTTCAGGTAAAAATTATTTTTAGATAAATATCCAGCTCCTAATTCCTCTGACCGCAAAAGACAAGTTACAAAAAGGCATTTTTTGCTGCATTCAACACTTACCGTTGGAAAAGAGCAGGGTAAATTAAAAATTCATTAAAATTAGAAATTGGTTTAAACAATTAGTTTGAAGTATACTCTAAGTAGCTTGTTTTTATCGAGTCGAGCCGGTACGATTAAAGGAAAGAAAGGCAAAGGAGTTGAATGCAGCGAAAATGCTTTAATGCCTTTTGCGGACATAGAGGAATTGCGAGCTGGACATTTACCTTGTTTTTAAATTTATAAAAATATAATTTTTAACAAAAACAATGTATTTTTAAAAATAAAGAAGGCAATGATGGAGATAAATATCATCGTTTGAATGCTAATTATAATGAATTAGATCATGCTGATTCTCATTATAAAAAAATAAGATCAAAGATACTAGAGAATAGCAACCAGTATCCGGTAAGAATGTTATTTTTTGGATATATACGAAGGCAAAATTTCGAACAAAACGGCATACTATTAGATTCGTCTCGGTGGCTGAGCCGAAATAACCTTTATACGCTTTTTGACCGAGTAAAAGGGAGCTTGATTTGAAAACGTAACTTGAAAAACCCTAAGTGAAACTTAAAAAATCAGTGATGAAACGATTTTTTCAATATAATTTTAAATTTTCATTTGCTAGATCGATGTAGTAAATAAACGAATAGATAAACTAAACGCCCCTCATCAAGTGAGACAACATCAGAAAATCAAAATTATAAAAGATATGCAAGAAATTCACGATAAATATAATGGAATTTAGTAATATTTTTAATAAGCTCTCACTATTTTGCATTCAATCTAACAAAGTTACAACTCAAGTATAAATCAAAAAACTCTCTTTGAGCATTTTGAATTTCAAAACTTATGATATCCCTCCAAACCACTATTAATCTCTTGAAATATACTTTTAAGCAATACAATTTGAAGGGGTTTTTAAATAGCACTTTATAGTAAATCATTTAATCTATCGCTTTTAAAGTGACTAAATACGTATAGAATCGAAAACAAATTTTGAGTATGGGGCAGTTGGGCATTTGTTGGCTCCTCCTCCGACCTATTTCTTCTTGGCTCCAGCTCTGGAGCCGACTATTTTCGGAGCATTTTGAGTATGGGGTTTACAATAAAATGGGGAAAGGTATTTTTGTATGGGATTAAATTATAGTGAGAGAAAATAAATAATTTGAATCGTTTTCAGTTTTAAACATCTCATTTCTATTCTGGAGGATCGTCAAAAAGAAGGTAAATATGTATTTGAGCTTAAATAATCCAATTGAAATCACAAACTGGGGTTTCCTCTTAAAGATATTTTAAATTGGGTAGATACGTATGTATATGTTTTCGGGTTTACGATAAAACTAAAATAACGAAGCCTATTTTTAAAAAATGGTATATTCAGTTGCAAAAAGTCAAAAAAAGAACAAGAAGAAATCAAAAAAGAACAAGAGTGGAAAAGGAAATTAGATGAACTTCCTTTAAAGATTTTGAGAAAACCATACTTTCCAGTTATCTTCCCTCCCCGCATTCTCCTTTAATTTTTTCTTATTTCAAAATGGTCAAAGGCAAAATCATTATAGTAATGTAAAGAGGTAGTAAATAGCAGGCTTGCATGTTTATACGGATGATATCTGGCCGTCCGCGGATTTCAGTTTTACGATTCTGTACTTCTATGTTCCTAATACGGATGTGTCGTGTTGAGAAAAATGGGGTTTCAAAATTTTCTTTTGATGGGTTTTTTTTCGAAAATAGATCGGCTTTCTTGTCTATTCGCCTTTCCATGATTCCTGCCGAAACTCTTGTATCAATTTACATACGAGTTCTTTTATCAATATACGATTCTATGTTGATAAATTTTATTTGCTTTTACATATTCCTCTTTCCTTACCATTATTTGCCTTTGGACATTATGAAAGGAGATAGAAAGGAGAAGTTTTGTCTCCAAATTTTCGGAATTTGTCTCCAGCGGTCATCGGCTCTAGTAAAACAAAACTCTAGTAAAACAAACGCAACTCTAGTAAAACAAATTTTTTTAAAAAGTTTTCTCTATTCTTTTATTTTCTTTTCTTTCTATGTAGCACAATTTGTATTTAGTTTTTATTTCTATGAATTTTTAATCGATCCTTATTTAAACATTATTCTCTGATTTCAAGTTTTTTTGGTGATTTTTTCGGTGATTTGTATATATTTTATTTTTACTCCTATGATAAATCGTAGTTATTAGATAAAGTTAGTTTTTTAAATTACCCTTTCGTTCAAAAACAAATTGAACGAAAGGGGGTTGTATTACATCTTTGAAAAATATAAAGTCAATACATAAAGTCTGAATTGTGGTAAAATAACAGTAAAAAATTTAAAAAATAAAATTATAATCGAAAAGAACCATTTATGTTTGTAAAGAAAAATAAATTATAAAGATTTTTTATTCAACCCAAATCTCTATCAATAGTGTTTATATTAAAATTTATATTAATTTAATATTCTTTCAAAAATAATAATGGAAAAGTAATGTGTGAGGAAATTTTTTGAGTTATTTAATTAAATTTCCCTAAATATCTGGAATTTTATAGGGTTATACATCGAAAAACCCGAGCTTTTTTGTCTCGGGGGACGAGGTTTTCAAATTGTTTCGGACCGTGGTTCGGGTCTGGGAGAAATGTGAAAAATCATTCGGGATCGTGGTAGGGATTCGGGATCGGGGTGTAACTCTAATTATAAATAAAAGTACATTATTTTAAAATCGACACTTGCACTTTAAAAATTGAAAAATTGCATTGAGTTAAAATATACCGCCGACATAGGATTGTATATATTCAATCACTAGAGTGTTTGCCCTAAATAAATAATCATCTGATTGTTTCCTCTAATAATTTAAAAGTTCGAAATTTCGATCCGAGTTTTTGAAATTCAATTTATAGGGCTAAAAAGAAAGATCAGGGATAAATTAGACGCGCATCTCATTGATTTAAGAGGTCTTAAATGCTTTAAATTTATTTTCTACATAATCTTACTTATAATTAAATATTGTTTTTAAATAGCAATTAGTGTATTATTTAACAACACTAGAGTCTTTTTATCGAGATTTTTACCTCTTCCGTTTCCGCTTTCTACCTGCCTCCGCTTTTTAAAATTGAAAAGTATCCATCCCTAATATATACCTAGAGCTGTAACGGAGCCGGGCGTATTTTCTGTATTAATACGGTCCAGTTATCTTACGATAATTATTTATCGATAAGTCAAGATGTAACGAGATACTCCTGAATATCGAGATTATCTATAATATCGATAAATACCTAGAGAAACAAAGGTAGATGTGTATTTTAAATCAGGAGATATTCTAAATCATAGTATATATTTGGAGATATACTAAATCAGATGCAATATTAATTTAGATAATATTTATATTTTAGTATTTATTTAATTTAGAGATGAATATTTACAATTTACTTCTTTCAAATTTTTATTTTCTTCAATTGATTTCATTATTATTTGGAATGCATCCAGGAGAAGGTTCTTCAGGATCACATCCAGGATGGATGTATCAAGATCTAGAATCGCAACTAGAGAGGATGGATCTAGAAGAAGGTTCAGGATCACAAAAAGGAGCGATGAATATAGGAGAAGGTCCTTCAGGATCGCAACCAACAGTGGAAATAGATGTTTGTATTATTGTAAAAAAATAAAAGTATAAACATTTTCAATAGGCTTTTACTCAATTAGAGGAAAAAATACTTCCTTTGGTTGAAGAATTTGAAAACTCAAAGCCTCATAAGGACATAACCCCTCGACAGATAAGTAATCTATTTGTTTTTAATTTATAAAAATATAATTTTTTACAATAAAAACAATTGATTTTTAAAAATAAAGGAGGCCGTGAACTTCAACAAAAATTTACTAATGTTAGAGAACAATATGAAAATTTGGTTGATGCATATAAGCAGTTATTAAATGAATCCGATTCAATTGAAGAAACTTTAGTCTACTTGTTAAAAAATCAAGAAAGATATAAGGTAAAAAATATAATTTTGTTTGTCTAAATTTTATTTTAATTTGATAATGAAAATGGGCATAATATGAGATTATTTGAAAAAGGAAATCCTGTTTTAATCAAACGAGACTTAAAAAATAGAGAGAGTTAAGCTTGATAAATTAGAGATATAACCCATTCAACTACATATATAATTTTAATTTTAAACGATAAAGAAGTCCAATGATCAAAAAACTCTTAAATATATACAAGATGAGATAACTAAAAATGATGAATCCCGTATATCAAACAAAAGCAACAAGGATGATCTTATATTTGATATGGAAAGATTTTACCAATATCTCGTTAGTCTTCACATGAAACCGACACAAAATAAAGGTAGTTAATTGAAATAATATGTAGCGCTGTAATCATGAACTATAGTAATCATGAACCTCAGAATTTTATCGGCATTTTTTGGTATAAAATTAATAATAACCATAAATATTAAATATCATAGCAATTGACGATATAGAATAAATAAATTAATTAACAAATTAATAAAGGCCTTGGACAACGTTTTGGAAAATTCAGTCGCTTTGTTTTGCAAAAGAAGTATAAAGGGCATCGGTATGACAAGCTTCCTAAGCATAAGGAAAATTGAATAATTTGAAGGAAGGTGAAAATGATAAAAAAAATTCAATGCGCCCTTATATTTAGAAAGAGGAGAAAAGTTCCGTAACACAAAATTTAGAATTTTGGAGGGCAAGTCAGATATCTTCCTTTTTTAACCCCTCATGTGATAATTTTAAAAATTTTTAAATTCCTCCAAAACGGCATTTTATTTAATGTACGAAAAACTTCTTCGTGTCGGGAAAATAGGTTTTCGTGGATCGTATTAAAGAAATATTCATTTAAAAAATCGTTCGGAAACGTGGTCGGGCGCAACTCTAGTAAAAAGCAAATTTTTTAAAGTTTTTTTCTATAATTATTTTCTTTTTATGTAACACAATTTGTATTTATGTAGTTTTTATATTTTGACGAATTTTTATTAAATCTTAGTTATTAGATAAAGTTAGTTTTTTTAATTACTATATGTATAATCTTGTAATCATTATATTATAATTGAAAAAATAATTTTTCTTCACACATTTAAAAAAATTTGTTCAATTCATAAAGTGTAGCAAAATACGTCCGCAAATATTTCTAGTTTAATTAAAAATAATTAACTGTTATCATATTTTTGCCCTTTTACTCTGGGGATAAGTTTTCCGGGGATTCCTGAGAACTAATCACTCAAACACACACGTCTTAGACAAAAGACAGAAAAGTTTATATTACTTTAATATTCTTTCAAAAACTGCTCCGAATCCCCGAAACTCTTTCGGTTCGGGGGAGGGTTGGGTTTTTATATTGTTTCGAGGCGGGGTTCGGGCGGGAGAAGTGTGAATAAATCATTCGGGAACTGGATAGGGGTTCAGATCGGAGTGCACTCTAATAAAAGTACATTATAAATAAAAGTACATTATTTTAAAATCGACAGTTGCACTTTAGAAATAGAAAAATTACTTTGAGTTAAAATTTGCCGCCGACATGATTGTATATATTCAATCAAGAGAGTGTTTTCCCTAAATAAATAATCACCTGGTTGTTTGCTTTAAGAATTTAAAAGCTCGAAATTTTCGATCCGAGTTTTAAATTTTGATTTATATGGGTAAATAGCAAGATTAGACACGAGCATCTAATTTCTTTAAAAAAACTTATTTTTCTAAAAATTCAATTTTTGAAAAGTGCATATAAACTTTTGCACCGTCAAAAAACGTATAAGTTTGTGAAAAGAGCATCCTTTCTTTACATTTTTGGCGTTTTTTCTTACAATGGCGGAAATTTAAATAGGTAAAGGGTAAACTCTATGTAATTCCGTTTATCTTTATCCGATCTGGCAGATCTAAATTTTAAAAAATAGCTTAATTCCTATCTCAGTTGACATGTTTCAGCGTTTTTCAAAATTCTGATAATTTCGAAAACTTTTCGACCGGTCTAACAGGTACTACATTTTCGACTTTTCGGAGAAATTTTTTTCAAGTCTGTAAATTTTATATGTGATTCTCCTAAAGATTCTGAATACAATGCTAAAAACCGCATCCAAATCGGTCGAAATTCTACAGAGTTATGAATTTTTGAAAATCGAAAAAACACCCATTTTTGCCATTTTTTGTCGATTTTTTGCAAGAAATGGGTGTTTTTTCGATTTTCAAGACTAGATATATAGATGTATTAAATTGTTGATAAATTTCCGATTTAATTTCACCAATTAGTATAATATCAACTCTTTTAAAGAGGTGAGTTATTTATTAGAGGTGAGTATTCAAATAGAGAGGTCATTCTAATAGAGATTTTCGGTAACTAGGAGTTTGTTTCCTTTTTTATTTCATATTGCTCATCTGCCTGCCATTTAAAACAGGTCTCTTAAATAAAAAGGCTTTCTTAATTTCTTTTACCATATAAAATGCATGTGAAAATATAATCTCGTCTATCTAGGATATAAAATCCGAAATTTCGATTTATAGGGTTAAAAAGTACAAATGATTGCTAAGTGACGAGCGCATTTGATTGCTTTAGAAAGAGAGATTTAAAGAAGGATTTATTCCACATATAAACATTCTAACTGCCCTTTCTTTAATTTTCTTTCCTAATGTTTTGAAATATATGTTTAATATTGTTTTTAACTAATCAGTGTTAGATGATAATTCAAGATTATATTTTTATTTAAATAATCGGCAATTTTTCCTCAGAAAGAAAACTAAAGCAAGCATGTCAAAGAATGCTACACATATTCTTGCTTATATTAAAATTAAAGAGATTCTTTTAATTAAAATTAAAAAATTTATTAGGGTTACAGTCAATTAAGTTAAATCTGAAAATTAAAATATAAAAAAACACGAATTAAAGGTTATCTCTAAATCAAAATTTGATTTCAATTTTTAAAATTTAAAAATGAAAATAACAATTTAATTCTCTTAAATTTTTATTTTCTTCAACTTTTTTCGTTATTACTTGGAATGTATCATGGAGAAGGTTCTTCAGGATCGCATCCAGGATGGATGTATCAAGATTTAGAAACGCAACTAGAGGGAATGGGTCTAGAAGACGCTATGTCTGGAACCGGTTTGGAACTG